AGCATCAGTTTGATATCAAAGATTCTTGGCAATATGAATAAGATTTTAATTACCATTTCATTTGTTGATGCAAGACCCAATAGATGTTGATGAAGAACACTCGATGATGTGCAGCACCTCATCTAAATTGTGCGTGCTCTTCTGGAAAATCTCCTATCCAAATGATGAGTCCCTCCAGGAGTTGATATTTATGTATTTTTTTAAGAAAACTGACCAAAAGCAGTAGCCTCAATTTAAAAGACTAACGTTGAATCAAACTTCTGACCCTGCTCCAAATTCCCCACTCCAATTCCAGAAATTACTGTAGTTTCCTGTAATTTAAAACATCAGCATACTGTTTAGGGCCTCTATCCCATTGCTCAAGTTAAGCATCCCACAATGCATTGCTAATTACAGTAGTAAACTGTTTAACATGAAAACAGTATTTTAGTGTTGGAAATTGGCTGTAAATTTACAGCAATTGCTTACAGTGCAGTTGACTGTACTCAAGCAGTGGAGAAATTAAAGACCTACACAAAGAGATTAATAAATGTCTGCCCTTTGTTCTATTTCAACCTAGGGGGTTTATGGCTTTACAGTTCCCCTTACATCTCTGTCTCTGTCTCTTTCTCTCTCTCTCTCACACGCAGCTATGTTTTTGTTCCTTGTGGGGACTTTACATTGACTTTTCTATAGACTGTTGGTCTTTGGTTCTTGTTACCATTGCTAACTCTGAGAGACGAGACAGTCCAAGTAACTTCAAAACAGTGCTGATTTATTCAAAGAATCACAGGTAAAATTAACATTACACGCTCAGGTATCTTGCACCTCCATACTGGTGTAGATCACATTCCAGCAAGGAGGTGTGAGCTCCTGCTCACCAAATGACCAATAGGATTACAATGCATGAATTGTTGTACCTTTGTTTAGTGCAGAGCAGCCCAAGAAGATAAAATGTATTGTAAGACCTTAATTCGGGGTCAGTAGATGGAAATCCTGTGGGAGCTCTGTCTCTCTGATCCCAGCACTGTAAGGCCTACTGTGATCAGACATTCAGTAAACTTTCTGCTGATTTTAAACAGTCCTCTCCTGTCATCAGTTCTCGTGCTTCCAACAAAAGAACAGTTTAATTTCTAACACTGTAAAGCCTAACACATCAAAAAATAGCCAGAATATTCTAATTTTTTGGAACTGAGATGTTTATTAAACCTTTTAACAAAATCCAAAATATAATTCATGATTCAAAATTCAAGATTCATGATTTTTATTTGCCATATATGCATAGACAGATAGTCCAGGCATATAGGAATAGAGGTGCCATATTATTTAGATTATTTCTATTTCTTTTGTATCACATTTGATACATGGGGCATTTTTGGCGATTTTTTTTGCTCAGAAACCTCAGGTATGATACAAATGGTTTTATAGGGTTAACCATAACCATAACCACTCCTTGCCTAAAAAAAAAAGAAACAGAGGAGTGGGGAGGTGAGGGAGGAGCTGGTGGTGGGGTGGTGAAGGAACAGGTGACCCACAGGAGTTGGAGGAAAAGGCTGCTCCTGCAATAAAGAAGGCTTAGCCATGTAGTCTTTCCTCAATGAGTTCCTTGTCTCAGTGTGTGTGTGTGTGTGTGAGAGAGAGAGGGATGGAAATATAGGCTTTTCTTTCAAACATCAATGTTGTTCCATTGGATTTCTACATGGAAAATGTCTCATACATGATGATTTTTCCCAGGATGTGTAACAGAGCCCAGGCCAGGCTCTATTTGCCAAAGCCAAATCCCAAAGCAGGAACATGAAGGCCTTTTAATTGAGTGTTTAATCTGGTCAGAGAATAAAGGAGAAAAGGCTGCAGTGTGTATATGCACCTGCTTGGCTGCTGTTTCTTAGTGTGTTTTTGTTTTGTGTGTTCACACTAGTTTTTAATTGTACATGCACATGTTTTAAGTTAATCAACACTGTCATGGTGTTGGCTTCATTTAAATGTGTTAAAAATACAAACACTGCCTTGTATAAAAGTGTTCAAGAACATATCTGAACCCTGGCATTCTGGTTCTATTTTGTATAGGCTTTGCCCTCTAAGAGCTGTCGCTATTGGGTTCACCCCTCCCACTTGTGCAGTCCTGAAGAGACTCTTTCGCGCCCTGTGCCCTGCACTGGGCTGTCCCCAAAACAGGTCCACTTCAATGGCATAAATGCCACTGTAACCTGTGATCGGCTCCCTCCCTGCTTCCCAGGTGATGTCTCTTGGCAGGAGGCGGACCACTCATCTGCTCATGGAACCAGGTCACTGCACGCCTCTCGGCCCACATTCATTAACGCGCATCAGGGGCAGGTGCAGCAACTAACAGTGTGATGACAAAAAAAAAAGCCTGAGTGGGGTGCTCATTTTAAGAGGGGAGGCACGTGTCCGTCACAGGCTGTGGGAGGACGGTGGGATCAAACCTTCTCTCTCCAAATCAACTGTCTGGAACTAGTTATGGTGCTGAAGGTGGTTAA